TTGTTTTAATATAATTTCAAATAAAATATTTTATGTATTATACATTACGAGATAAGTTAATAAGTCATTCGTCCAATCTCTTTTCTCGATTTAGTTTATTCTTAGTCCTTTTAGGATGTCTCTGTTAGGTGTCTTCTGTCTCTCTACTTCTCTATTTTGTTGCAACCAATAAGAGATGGTGCTGTGTAATGTGATATTGTTTTCTTTACAGAATTCTGCGAATTTTTTCTTCACTTATGAACTGCTTACCATTGTCGGCTGTTATAATCACCGGAAATCCCACTCTTGAGAAAATTTCTTTTAACATTTTTATAATTTCTTCGTTAGTTATGTTTTTTGTGATCCTTATTTCTTTATAACGACTGAAATAATCAATAATAACAAATATATATTGACTGCTGGATAAAGACTGACTTCTAGATATCAACCTAAGGTTCGGTTGGTAGAATTCTGCGTTTTAACGGGTTCGGTGGATTGGGCATGGATATTAAGGTACATCCTTTGCAAGCTTTTAAACAGTTTTCTGCGCCTTTACCTATCCAGGTTCTATCTATTCCAGGACTCTTCTACGCAATGTCATTGGTACAACAATTTTCGTACTTTTTAGCAAAATCCTATCGTGATAACTCGATTTTAAACAGTTTATATTATAATAGGTATTAGTTTCTTTTCCCCATATATTATCATATATGCTCTTTTTGACTTTATTGATTTCATCATTGTTTTCAGAATATGCTTTGATATTTTTAAGAGAAACAGCTGTAGGTTTTAAACTTTCTATAATTTGGTTGACATAATTGTCATTTTCGAAGGATTGTGCGGAGCTATTGTTACCGAGTCTTGAGAGGGGATCCGTTATATTAGATTTACCTGGTCGATGTTCTACTCGATACTTAAAAGCCTGTCAAACCTATCTTTCAATCCTAGCGTAGGATTCAAATATGATCTCCAAAGGGTTTCAGTGACCAGCTCAAATTCGCTCTTACCAAGGAGATATGTTTTAAAGTATTCTATACGAGAAATCAGAGAGGTATTGGAGATCCGACCCATTGAATCTATCACTATAATAGCAAATTTTTTGGAACCTGTACAGTCTTGTCTCTTAATCTATATCTTATGCTATCAAATTTTACTGATATCAAGGATTTTTACTAACTTGTGTCTAAACCGAGATCGTCCCTTATCAGCGTTGGCAAATCGGCTTAATTTCTATCAACAAAAGGGACAAAAATTATGCAATTATCTAATATGAGACAGCTAAAATAAGGAAAGCTGAGTAAATTGTAATGAAGATTATTTTTGTCACTACCGATCTACCGGAATTTTCATGTGTACGTATTTATAGAAACAATTTCTTCAGATTTTGACTTTTAAATGCAAGGACTCTATCAAGCGCATGCAGAGAAGAAAAGAAAGATTAATTTTAATTTTAATTTTTTATGGCATGTTTTTTGATAACTTACTAGTCTTTTTGCTTTCCTCATTTAATTAATTCTCTTTAAAACAAGTCTGCTATTTTAGAAATCGGAGGAGAGATGAAAAGTATAATATAACATTACATTATATACATTTTTATTTTAAAATACGTAAAATAAATTAATAATGATATGAGATTGTAGAAGAATTAAGGTGCAATATCAACTATATACTTATAAAACACATATATTAATCGAAGCGAAGTTAACGAAAATAATCGGATATGGCTAATCGAAAGAACGTATTGCTTCGGATAAAAAATCGCGTAACAGTGTAACTCTGCAATGCTCTCAAATAATGGAATTGATAGTTAGTGGCAAAGTATCAATATACTTTGTGGAAAGCAAATACGAGTAGTAAATTACATTAAAAGTTTAATGTAGAAATGAAAACATTTTAAAAACATTTAATTTTCTGAACTTGTTAATTTTCTGGCTCGACATATATACCAGAGAAATCCGTTACACATTTTAATGCTGCATCAGGTAAAAGTCTGAAATAAAAAATATTTTTATTATATACATAAAATAATAATAATTATAATACAATAGTATACAGTATATTATTATATTCAATATGTTTAAATGAATTATTTTGCAGCTTATTGTCGTATATATGTATATATTTAAAAATACATATATATGTATATTATGATTAAATTTTTGTGGCGTGGTTTATTTATACCTTATTATTTTTAAAATAGGTAACCAATATGAAGATATGCTTTTATTTTCATAATTTCGTCTTTGCGCATCAATTATTGACGAAGCCACTTTCTGCGGTAAAAGTTCTCTCATTATCAGTGGAAATCTATATCAATAAACAAAATAGAATTCAACCCAATAAATTTGCTATTATATAACCACTATACATATATTATTAATTAATTACTATTAAATCTAAATTAATATTAATTAATTACTGTTAAATATAAAAAAATCTATCATAATAAAAAGTGTGATACCATTAAAATAAAAATTTGTTATGAATTGCTTACGTAACAACGTAAAAAAAATTTGTAACAGTGTATTGTTGTAAAATTACCTAAATTTTGGTTTACAAATTCCGGTATGTACGAAGAACGGATAAATAGTTGTAAATTTAATCGATGACTTTCCGTTACTCAATATACGTAATTCTTCCGATAGAGACTCCATCATTGCTGTGGATATGTCAATATATTAGAAAAACACATTTATTATTATATTTTCACACGCACATTCAAATTATGTATAATATATACAAATATATGCTTATATACATAAGTATTTATTAATATATATATATGTGTGTGTGTGTGTGTGTGTATGTGTGTGTAATTATAATTATTTTTTTATTATAAACAATTTGACTTGATTTCTTTGACAGTCAAGTGAAATAATCGTATACATACAGACAGATAGATAGACATGTATATATGTATATATAGATTGTTTCATTTTAATTAACTAAATTGACATACTAATATATCTCAAGAATGAGATGGGGGATTGAAAAAAATTTTAGATAAAGTTATATCGATATCGAGGAAAACATAAAATGATATCATTGTTATATTGTATTATAGTTTGAACTTGAATGGCATTGTCAGATCAGGGTAAGGCTATTGAACTTTTTAAATAAAATTTATCATTTATCATTTACATTTATCATTTACACATTCTTGTAGCTCTTATCTTAAAAACTTTTCAAAACAGTATAAAATTTGTATTTTTTCATAAAGTGTATTTCTCGAATTATAAGAGTCAGTTGAACATCTTGGGTAATGCCGACGGTATTATAACTTTCAAGCTTTATAATTGTGTAAATGAAAATGAAACACCTTTACACACACACATCCACACTCACCCTTTCTCTGTAATCTGTAAAAAATGTAGTTGAATTACCTTTAACTGCGAATTTTGTAGGACAGTAAACCGTTCCATAAGGACCGGTAAAGTATGCTGCTAGTGATGAAATTGCTACGATATGACCGTGATTCTTTTTGATCATATTAGGTAAGAATGCTTTCAATGTCTAAAAGTATAATATTTATTTGCAAAAATTGATTGATAAAAGCTTAATTATAATTGTAATTATAACTGTTTAAACCGATTAGTACACTTTATTTATGAATAAATTAATACAATATATTCAAAAATAAAGTCAATTATA